TCTCACGATGACATAACATTCTTAAAAAAAAAACGCTAATTATAAAAATAGCATGTTCGTTAACAGCATTGAAAATGAAAAAACTTCAAAAACAAATAATTGTTATATAAGTTAGAATATGACTTAGTTTGTTTACCAACTATTCGTTACATAATAAATTTGAATTTGAACTAGCACATGTACTACATTTATGAAAAGAAGCAATTTTGCGTTAGATGACATAATATTCTTTATCTTTTGCAAAAATATTAATAATACAATACACTCAAAAAATATATTTATAACAATTGGTTTAAAAAAAAATATTTTAATTTTGTCTATGTCATGTACTACATTTTACTTCAAGAAGTGATATTGCATTATTCCATTCATTTATATTTTGCAAAATTACTAGTTCGAGTATCGATTCAATTAAAAAATTTAACAATTTGATTTTTAAAAATTATTTGAATTTGAATTATGTTTTACCTTATACATAATATAATTCCATTTGTTTGCCATTTGAAAAAAATGGCAATTTTAAAATTAATTCAATTAAAAATATTCATAATAATTTAAATTAGAACTAATAATAAAGGTATTAAATTTCATGAAAAGAAGTGGTTTTGCGTTGTAGATGATGTAATTCAAATTGTTTGTCTTTTGCAAAAATTTTACTCAATTGAAAGATTTTTGATTTTAAAAAACAATTTGAAATTAAATTTTGTCATATACTAAACTTTATTGTAAGCGTTATAGATGGTAAAGTAATTGATATGTTTATCTTGTAAAAATAAACATTTGAAAACCTATTCAATTGAAAAATATTTGTAACAATTTGGTTTTAAATCTCGTGAGGTTTTTTGGGGGAGGGTTTTGACATCACAAAATATCACATGGGGAAGGAAGGGTTATAAAATGATATCACGCGTATTTATTTTTTATCTGATTTTTTTTAAAACCGAAACATTAAAAAAATCACAAATTTTTATTTACGAGAAAAATTACAATTTTTTCTCGTAAATAAAAAAACACGTGATTTTGGTTGGGAAGGGGGATAATTTTGAATATCACCACGTATTACCAAGGTATTATGGCAAAAACCCATAAAAAATCAATCAAAAAACCAAACAATTTGGTAAAAAAAATAGTTTTAATTCGAACTATGCCAAGTACTACGTTTTATTGAAAGTAGTAGATTTGCGTTATAAATTATGGTATAAATACATTTGTCATTTCGAAAAATATGAATTTGAAAATTTTAACAGTTTCAGTTCAGTTTTCCCAACGAAGTAACATCATGCATTTTATTATTGTCCCTTCTTGTTACAATCGCAACTGCCAAAAGAAAATTTCCATAGTTGAAATATTACCTAAAAACTTCAAGATAGAAACGACTACCAGACCAGTCATAGTATTCCTGGTGGCAGAAACAGAAAGAGTTTTTCGAAACAAAAGTAAGGACAGAGAATATATATTTGGAATTATTTGTAAAAAAATACAGAGAATTAGGGAAAATTATATAGATAATGATAAATAAATATCCTTTTAATTTTATACATTTTGCGAAAAAAATTGACACTTCTTAAGGGGGCCTCCCAATAAATTTTGATACGGAGCCTGGTCAAGGCACGCAACGCCCCTGGTCATGTAATAAATTTTATGAAAAGTAGTGGATTTTAAGATGTAGATTATGATAAAATTTCATTTGTTTGTCCTTTGTAAAGATTAATTTTGAAATATACTTTAATAATTGATTAATTGATTCATCGCAAATTGATTTTAAAAAATGTTAGCAGTCAGTCAATCGTGTCAAAATTAGAAATTGGCATTAGTTAAACAATGCATTGCAATTACATCAATGTATGGTAATTAATTGATTATTACATATTATTCAAGATAAGGTACTTTTAATCCGAGTTGGTGTTTACTAAAGATGTCTTTCCTGAGATTGTATAGAATTTTATAAATGAATACTTAATAATTTTATACAACGTGGTTTCGTATTTTATCAATGACCTAATAGTTGGCATATTTAAATAGTTACACTTTTGATCCAGGTGTCCGATAAATAAAATCACATAGTTCAATGCATGAGAAAATTCAAGTTCATACAAGTATTCGTCCTAGGTTAGGTTCTGTATACACAAAGCCGGTGTATATAATAAAAACACAAACCACTCACGATACGAATCTACAAATTATCCATATTGCGCAACAAATTCAACAAAATAATCATCAAATCATTCCCATACACAACAATTAGTATCATTCATCCTCTTCCGTCGTAATTACTTCCTAGTACAATTATCGTGACAAGTTTTATGTAACTCGTCCTTGGCATCGAAATAATAACTATTAACAAATTAAATGATTCTGAATTTACCTTCAACGAAGAATTTGGTGGGTATATTTCTTAATCAAACTCGATGAACGGAATTAATGCACATGTCAACGTATAACAATGAATTTTAACTACACAACCTCATTCTCATCGGTTCACTCACAAACTGTAACTGACAGCTGAGCCGAGCGGCCGACTCACGCTGGGGAAATGACAGTTGATGCCGCCGGAGCGCGGTACGCGCACTGGTTGCGGCCTAGATTCATAGATCGACGACAGGTGGCAATAGTGTTCGGGAAAACTAGACCGCAATTCAAATGAAGTTGACCAGGATCGTTAGAATTGAAGCAGGGATTGTCAACCTTTTTGTACTGCACTTCCCTTATTAACTTCCCGTAGGGTAAGTTATTGTAATGCGCCGAAAATCGGAATTGAAAATTTTTACATTTCTCGACGTTTTGAAGGTTTCTGAACTTTTTGGCATACCTCAGAAAAAATGGACGTGTGTGTGAATGTATGTACGGATACAATTTTTCGTCCACGTTTTCGGGCACACGGATCAACCGATTTGAATGGTTAAAAAAACATTCGATTTTCATTGATAGGGAGATGTGCTGATTAGTTTTTGGCAAAGGCAGGGCCAGCCGTTTCGTAGATATGGAGCAAAGAGTGCACAAAATATAAATTGAGTTTTTGAGAGATCGAAGCATCCGATTTGAATGATCCAAAAAACATTCAATTCGTATTGACGGGAAGAAGGGGTGATTAGGTTTTGGCAAAAGCAGGTCCAGCGGTTTTGGAGATACAAAACTAAATGTGCAAAAAATGGCAGTTTTTGAGAGAACTAAGCGTCTGATTTAGATGATTCAAATAACTTTCTGCTTGTCTTAACAAAATAAATGATTTTGAAAAAAAAAGTTTTTGTTCCAACTTTTTTTTTTAATTTTTTGTATATCGATAATAATTTTTATTTAACTTTACTTAAGTTCCAGCAATTTGCCTTAAGGCACGATGCCACCCACCCCACTAGTTTTTCTTTAACTTCTCTTAGGGTTCTTGTTTTTTTGTTTTTTTTTTGTATAGAGAAGGAAATGCCTTTATGCGTCCCAGACTAGTCTTTCGACTGGGTATAAAGAATAATAGTTTTAGCCTGACTTTTATTGTAACGTAATAAAATAATAAAACAATACTTCTTAACAAAAATCAATCTAATACACTTTAAACTTATAAATATGAAAACCGCAATTCAAATAAAATTGACCAGGATCGTTAGTATTAAAGAAGGGGCTTGCAACCTTTTTGTACTGCATCTCCCTTAACTTCCCTTAAAGTTGTTAGTTGTTTGAAGAAAATGTCTTTATGCATCCCAGACTGGTCTTTTGACTGGGTATGTCGGACTCAATACCACCTTGCTACAATACCGACTAAAATCTCCGCTTTGTCCTTTCCTCTGGTCCTCTCGGAAACCGCCGTTAGGCATTACTTTGTGGGGGTAGGATCTAGAATGTTATCATTCTTATACTGATTTTATACTCATCTTAAAAATGAGCAAAGTCCTATTCACCCTTTCTTTTTCCATAGACCGCAGGTCAATTAGCACATCTCTCGCAAATCTCTCGCGTTCCGTTTCTTCCCTTAAGTTAAGTTCTATAGAAATCTATAGTAATCGCAAAAAATTGAATATTAAATTTTTTACATATCTTGATGTTTCAAAGAATTCTGAACGTTCTGGTAGTCCATAAAAAATGTATGCATGTATGTGCGGGAACACGAATCAAGCAATTTGAATAATTAAAATAACATTGGGATGGGGAGACGTGCTGATTAGTTTTTAGCAAAAACAAATCCAGCCGTTTTGAAGATACGGGGCAAAAAGTGCCAGAAATGAAAAATTCTGTTTTTGAAATTACGAAGCGTCCGATTTGAATGATTCAAAAACCATTTTATTCGTATTGACGAAATGACTGATTAATTTTTTGAGAAGAAAAGTCCCAGCGGTTTCGCCCATCAAAAATCATGGGTGGGCTCAAGCCCACACAGCCCACACGGTTCCGACGCCACTGATCATCAGATATGCACATCATATTATCAGATACATTTTATAGAGATTTTAATAATAAGTACAAATTTTGTTTATATTTTTATGGGTTCCGTATCAATATACGATACATGTTTCGATATATAGTCTCCAAAACAGCTACGCAGTGTGATTGCTTTAAAAAAAGTTCAAAACTTTCCGAAAAAATCTATATATAAAAAAATTAAATTTTTCAAATCATTTTTTTTTATTTAAAACTCTCAAAAATCATTTTTTTCAGTTTTCGGAAAGCGAGTTCTTATCGAGTTTCATCAAATTTAAAATTTTTGAAATCGGTGCTGCAGTTTTTGAGAAAACTTGGACGAAAGTAAAAAATTGATTTACATACTTTTTTCAATTTTGGTCTCAATTGAGATTGACTTAAATCGTCGAAGAAACATAAAATTAGCTTGTCGGATTTTTTGGCAAAATCATACCATTCTCATTCTTCGGGAAGTTAATTGAAGCTTGTTAATATAATCAAAAACAACTTATATTTTTTAGTTTATTATAACTTTTATTAACTTATAAATCAATAATTTATATATAATACAATGATATAAGTACTGTAACATATAAGTATATATAGTATAACATTTCTTATTGTGTTCCATTTCCAAGACCAACTTTTCCAGATTTATTTCTATCTGCCTGATTATCTTTAAACTGCTAAATTGTTATAAAAAATTAGTAAATAAAATATTAAGTAGTTATGCTATATTTTATATATAAGATATATACCTCTCCCGTCAATATTCTATTTTTGGACAAATGTGAAACTGGTGAATAATCATTGTCACAGTCTCGATTGTAATCTGAAATGGATAAAAAATATTTATTTATTAGAAAATAATATTTATAAAGTAATTAAAATATGTATGTATTACCTAGAGGTTTACGAATATTTTGAGAGTCTTCATCATCGGAACCTTCAAAAAGAAAAGTAATAATAAAGTCAATCAATAATTAATAATAAGAGCGAGTATAATAAAGCATTATATATATATTGATTATCATTTTAATTAAATATTTAAATATTATCTTTTACCTGAATTAAGTTCTCTTACTAAGGTTGACATAGCGTTTGTAACAGAATCAGCAGCAAATAATAGATCAGTTCGAAGACTTCGAGGTTGCGAGCCATTTGCTAATAGATAAATCAATTATTGATTATAGTGAATAAATATAGAATTTTAATTATAATTTAAAATATGTACCTATAGCATTGTTTGATCCAAAAGCTGATCGAACATCTCCTTGAACTCCAACTAACGAATCAGATGCTAGACAAATTTATTGAATTATGAAAAAATAATTTTTGATATTAAGTATGTTCGATACAATATAGATTTGAATATTGAATTTATACATCAAACTAAATTGTAAAAAATAAAATTAAAGTCTTCTGAAAAAAGTTAAAAAGCAATAAAAGTTTTAAATTTAACCATTTACTTATTGAAAAAAATCTTATTGACTAAATTGCCTATTTTAAAATTATTAGTTTTGTTTTTTATTTTCGCTGATAAATGAATAAATATATCGTGTAATACATATAGAATAATAGTTTTAGTCTGACATTTATTACAACGTAATAAAATAAAAAAACAATACTTTTTGATAAAAATCAATCCAATACACTTCAAACTTTCATGCTCAATTTACAATAAATATGAAACACAACATCAAAAATAACAATAACTACAATTTTATATATATTAATAGCCTTTTTCAAACACTATAAATATATACAATCATCAACACAGGGTTCAAGGTTTATAAATGCAAAATAATCTATTTTTAAAAAATTGTACATGAATCATTTTATTTTAGATAGTTTGTAAAAAAAATAAAGATGAATAAAAACAAGTTATTGCCTTCAAATTTATTGAACAGAGCTATAATAAGTATTTAAAATTATCGATGTAACATATTTATATATTTTTAATTAAAATGCCATAAAATATTAGATACAACTATAATATTATTGACTAACTTATTTTATTAACTTAAATAGCATTAATATCAACGTAAACTCTATAACTTTAATTAGTAAATTCAATAGTAATAATATCAGAATAAAATGCATTAAAATCGGTGGAAATTTATTGAATTTAATAGAAGTTTTAGTCTTTTTGTTTCTCGGTTAAAAATTGTTACTCTACAAAACCTTTGTATTATTATTTTCTAACAAAAATTCATTTTATTGTTATGCTTTTCTTTATGAGATATAACTACCTCGATCATCAGTTTACAACATATAATCCCTAAAGCTCATATCATTTAGTCTTAAAAACGTTGAATATATTTATATCAGAAATTTGATTGAATGAAAATAATTAAGTGACGTAATGTTCAATTTATTTTCACTTACGATATGATAGGTCTTTTAAACCCATTTTTGATTTATTAATTTGTATTCAGTATTATAAAGACGGACAAATAGTAAATTATTTTTCATTAGAACAATAAATTAAAAATCTTCAAGCAGGCATATTGATTAGTCAATGTCATTTAATGTTTACTAATTAATTTCTTCAGGCTATATAAAAAGTACAAGATCTTTTACAAAACAGTCAATCTCACAAAAAACGACATAGAACTTCAAACTACTAGAAGCATTTCACACAGTAGATAAAGTTAAAGAGGGAAATAATATCAAAAATAAAAACGAAGTAGTGCATTAAATTTTATTTAATAAAATAATAATAAATATATAAATTCTTCAAACAACAACTTAATAACTAGCAAACAAACAGTTGTTTTGAACATACTGTTTCAATAATAAAACCATTTCACAAATTCCAAATGTTGTGCTCATCAAATGTAAATTACTTGTTGACAAAAAACTAAATATGGTGCAAACGACTTTCATAATAAAATAATAATAAATATACAAATATTTGAATGATAACAAAACTGCATTGAGCAAATTCCTTTATTAACAATGATTAGTTGCTTCAGATAGTTTTTTAAAAATTAAAGTACAAAAGATTTCACAACCAATGTTTCGCGGACGTATATTGCTGGATGAAAGTCAAAGATAAAACGTCAGTCTTAAAAAATTAAAAAATAATTAGTGGATAATAAAGAAATAGTTGTTGGGGTAGGACAAGCAAAACAAGCAAAGAATAAATTAATAAAAATCTTTCGAAAGAAAATAAATGGAAAACACATTCATCATTAACCAAAGCTTCACAAAAAACTGTTAAGCATCAACTTTGTTATTATTTAATTGATTTAACTGTGACACCTGTATTTTGTTGTGCAACTTGCGTTAACGTTCCGGCTGGTGTAGCTGGTGCTGATCTGGTTGGTGCAGGTGAAGGAACTGAGCCAGTTGTTGGAATTGGAGGTGATTTGGCAGATCTTGGGCTTGAATTTGGAGTAGATCTTGGTGATGCTTGATGTGTCTATAGTAAAAAACATAAGAACATAAATTATAATACACTACTTGTTTTCAAAGTTTTAATTTTCATTTAATGTCCTCTTAAAAAACAAAATAAAATTAAAAATTATTTTAGAATTTTTACGTTTTTGGTTTTACCCATGTAAACTTTATCTAAAAACTTATATTTTTATTACATATGAACCTAATAGTTTTCTATTTATTATTATAAAAATACCTTCAACATTTTCATAAGTCCTTCAAGCTGACCCATAAGTTGTTTTCGAGATTCTTGTAGAGCACCTAAATGTCCTTCTAATTCACCTTTTCTCAATCTTAAAGCTCTTAATTCAGTCACCAATGCAGGACTTTCTCTAGTCCCACCACCAGATCCTTCAATTTCTTGTTGACGTCTAAAATTTAGTGGACAACAAATATATCAAAAACTTACATTAAAAGATTAAAATTTTAATAACAAAATGTGAAGCTAAAATAAAATTGATAATATAATTTAACCTAGTGTACATATTCTAAAAAAACAAGCTGTATAGGAAGAATATTTATCTGAAAGTGTTTCATACTGACCTCAAAAGAAAAAAAAGAATATAAATAATACTAAAAGTTTCTCTGCAAATTAAATGACAAAAACATTAACAAAAAAAGCAAAATATAAAAGCAAATGGTATTAATATACCTTAACCTTGCAATCTCTCGCATTATTTCTCTGTTTTTAACTTCAAGTTGTGTGATGAGTTCTCGTTGAGCTCTTGATCCGTCTAAACCCAGGCCAGAATCACAACGATCTAAAGCTTGCCCGGATCCTCGCTGAAAAATTCAATTAGATAAAAATAAAGATTTACATTTTTCAGTAATACTGACTATAACATGTACCTACTTACTGTTTATTACCTTTTTCCAAAAACACAATTTGAGAATTCTTATAGTCTTATAGTAATTATTTGAGATCAGTCTACCAATCAATAATATTACAATATCATTGAAATTATGAAATGGTCAAAAATTCATAAATTTATAGAAGCTCAATTATTTTAAAACAAGTGATAATCAAAACAAATGATAATAAATTTGCCAATACCAACAATATTTAATCAATTAACAATTAAATCTAATTTACCATGCTTCTATTTTCTTGGGCCAAACGTGCAGCATATCGAGCAATCAGTTTGTGTTCATCGTCCAGAGTCATTGTTCTGCTATCGAGAGTAAGAGAACGAGCACTTGGTGGTTCTGGGGGTCCGGTGGGTGCATCATTAAATTCTGAAAAACCAGTATGGCAGGGCACTGGAGAAGGTGGCCTAAAATATTATATTTCAGATTACTACAGCAATAAGGCTATAAAGTCATAGTATTTTAAGCATTTCATCAAATCCAATAATTTATATAAACAATGATAAAATATTGTAAATAAGTAACAATAAAAAAATGCATAATGTTAGATTATACATACACAATATGTGATAAGTTAAGAGTCTTTTCCGGTTGATCAGGAAATCTTGGCAAATTATTTTTAGTCTTTTCGGGAACACAACGGAATGATTTTCTTAAAGTATGGCCTATTTGTTTGCTAGGTGATTTCTGAAATATATTAAAATAATAATGTAAATAAAATTTATTCTCAAACAACTCTCATCGTAAGCACTTACATAGCTAGAATATTCCTTGACTTCATGATCTGTGGTATGTCCATTGGAAACCTTTCCTCTCCAGAAACAATCTTGACAAAGTTGATATCCATGACATCTTTGACACCTATATCGGAAACCAGTAAAATTCTCTCGTTGGCACGCTGAACAGACAGTGGGATGAGAAACTGAAATAAATAATATTATCTTAATAGTACAACCATTAATATCACAATAAGCAATCATTCACATTGAACATCTTGTGTTTGCATGTACTAAGTAGAAGCTTAATTTAATTAAAAAATATTAGATTTCATTTACCATTTTCAACACTTGCCAAACGATGCAATAATGGCAACCAAACCAAGCAAGGTGGACCTGGATCACTCATCATTGTATCCATGAAATCATTTACTGTAACTTTGGAACCCTAATAAAATATTAATATATACTGTAAATAATGAATTCAGAACAATAGTTTAATTAAACGGAGTTTAATCAAAAAGTTTACATTGAAGATATCATAAGAGTATAATATAAAACACAAAATAGCATCGCGTTGTACTAATTATATTTATTAGGTTCGTGATAATTAAATTAAGTACTCTCAAGTTTCTATGTAAAATTTATATCGATTTATATTTACCTGTGGAAGCATTGAGTTCATCGCCTCATCACTGTATGAAAATGAAGGAGACTCATAAACTGCTGCTGGAAGAGCTAGAACTTCTCTTAAATATTCACCAAGACGCCAAGGTAATAACTGTCCTGCTCCATCTGATATCTGTGAAAATATATCTAAGAGAAAAATTTTAAAGTAAGATAATTTAAATTTGTTTCATCATTTTTGTTTACTTTGAAATTTTACTTACATCTTAGTTTATCCATTAGTTTACCAGCACACATTGTAGCTAATGCTACTTTTATCGAAAACACTCGGATCTTACCAACATTATCACTAAAATATAAAAAAAACATTACATACATAATTATTTTATACATATTTTAATAAGTACGTGTAATTTTTATAAAATAATTATTTAAACAATTATAAACCTTATTTTACCTTATAAATTATTACCTTGTATATGCAGCTAACAACCAATTTAGGAGTAAACCAGCACAGCCTTCGACGCTGACTTGACTTGCTGGTGGTAATCTTTTATTTAGATTATGATACAGTGAAGAAATCAAAGTTTCCAAACGTGATACATTGACTTCCATTTGTGGATCTAATGTGTTCAGACTATTTTCACGAAATGCTTCTATGACATTCCAAATATCCACCATATGAACTGAAAAGAATTTTAATTCTTATTTATGACTTTCAAAACATTCAAGAAAGAAAAAGCAAGATTAAAATTCGAGAAGATCAGATTTAGAAGAAAAAAGAAAAAAGAACAAATCAGTTGCAAAGAAGTTAAAGATTTGATAGAATATGCTAAAAATAAGAAGATATAGTATAGATAGTATAGAAAATATAAAGATGATATAGAATATAAAATAATGAAATGTTGTAGGTGGCTAAATGTTCTAAGTAAGCGAAGTCAATGAAAAAAAATCATTAACTAATTTTAAAGAAATAGAATTAGTGATGGAATCAAGACAAATAAAAAATGAAATAGCAATCGTTGAAATCAAAAATGTATTGTGATATTGCGTCACCGGTATAATTATTAGTCAATAATAGATTGTGTAGCAATATTTAAACAATAACATCGTAGCAATTGAGATTCAATTATTTAATTTTGCTGGTTTCAATTAATTTGATTTTGATTTCAACCTCCACATCAACAGCTTACACAAGCATTTAAAAACAATAGTTGTTTTCTGATTCTATTACTGATTGCTGTCGCAAAAACTGCAGTCATACTCACGATTTGCAGCTTTTTGCACGAATCGTAATTTGCAAGCCGTCCTGTAGCAAGCAAAACGAATTTGATCGTAGCCAAGATTGCGCATCTCGTGCAGCATCTGCAACCGCGCGTCCACGGTCAGGTCCTGCTGTGATTGCATCCTGGAGAAAAAGATAAATAAAAACTTATTAATTTTGAATTGCATAATTTAACTTCTCTAATTTTCCACATCGTACAGTTATAATAAAAATGTAATTCTAAATACATATGTACCTAAAGGCATTAGGTGCCTTATGGATCTGGTCATTTCTAGATATGAAGTAACTGATTTTTTATGTTATTGTGGATCATTCATTAATTGTTTATAAACTATTAATATATTTATTAAAAATTATTATTATTATTTTTATTTTTACTGTTATTAGATAACAGATTTGTGAAATATGCAAATAACATCTCAAGTGAATTTTGTTAGGAAACTTGCTACTAATTAGGAACAAATGTATCTTGACTTTGACCCTTTAATTGCCATGTCAGGCATATGTGACTGACGCTAAAAAGTTCTGCATGAGCCACGTCAGACATATATGACTGATATACGCGATTTGGGGGGTAACAAATAAGTTTTCTTGATACATTTTCAATTAAATAATTTAATAAAGGTATCATGGCCTATGTGATTTTTTTATATAGTATCGTGGCGATTACGGTGTTAATTGTCTAATAATAAAGTATTACAGATATTGCGGAAACAATGTCTTTGCAGTGATTTGTGATCATTTCTGGATATGATGCAACTGATTTTTCATATCATAACGGATCATTCATTAATTGCTTATAAGTTATTAATATATCTATATAAGAATAGATAATTTAGATTATGTTTTATTATTACAGTTATTAATTTATATAACAGATTTGTAAAATATGTACGTTAAATAATATTATACAAAAACTTCATATAATGACCACAGTACAGATTATTGTAGGTCTCAATATTTTACAAATAACAAATTTATAACAAAATATATGTAATTTGTTTTGTAAAAGTATTGTATAGTCGATAATGTTCATTACATTTTTTTACTGAAAATATAAACAAATCAAAGTTTTATCAATTTATCAATCAGCAAATTTAATAACTATAACTGCTAGTAGTATCAAATATAACGTGCTTATTATATTGCATAATGTTTTGATATATATAAATTACATTTGTAATAAATTTTGCCAAGATCATGACTCACTGGATGCTATCGATTGACTTGGAAGTTTTTAGAGTATTAAAAGATTCCGAACTTAATTTGTAGTAACTAAGCTGAACTAATTTCTTAATTGCACAAGACGACGTCTAAACGACGAGTGCAATTAAAGGTGAACCTTCTAATTACAAAAAGACATTTCAATTAAAATATTTTGAACAAACTACAAATAGTTAAAGGGCTAATAACAATATATAATGTATATTTGTTAATTGTTCATATAACGCTAAGGATGTAAATTGTAAATATTGTTCGAAGTGCAAAGTGTATTTTAAATATAAATATTCTAAATAGCCAGATCACTTCATGTTTTTAATAATATTCATTATATATAAAGCGCTTTGAACAAAAACCATTTATTTATCAAATTTGCATGATTAAGAAAAATCTTCACAAATCACATCTTGAATTGATACTGATTGTGAGTCATTTTACAATTAAATCTATTCTGGGTACATTTACGAGTGCAGAAAATATTATTCTTGCATTCAGAATGATAAACATTGCATCTGTTTATTTGAATTACTTTTGATTTAAAAGAATTTAAAGTAAAATGATAAAAATAGCAAAGTATTTGCAATACTAGCTTTGGAGTACTGTCTCTTCGATTTTTATAAGCCAGGCTTTAATATAAAATATCGGGTAAACTTCATGTAAAGTTTGAAACTTTGTTTTCATAAGCTGTTCACTTTTTATCTTAATGTTAAAGAAACTTTTACAGGAGAGATCAGAAGCGTTTGGGCCTTTAGAAATGGTAAAGATATCTCACAAATTAGAATTTTACGGAATATTCAATTTAAAATCATTGTAGTAAATTTATAATCTTGGTAGTAGATATTCAAGAAGATTTATACCCAATCCCATATTTTCATTGAATGTCGCAGATATAAACTCCCTATATACAAAAATCAATATTTGTGTTAATTAAACTCGAGTAAATAATAATTTAAAGTTTGCTGATGACTAACTATTCAAACTATTAACAATAAGATCAATTTCATTTCATTCAGTTTGATAAATAGATACTTGAATAGCTGCTTAAAGGCAATACTGTATTAACAAATTCTCAAGTGTATTCTTTGATCTGCTTTATAATCAAAACACATATCACTCAATACCCAACTCGAATAATAAATATAAAATACTCTGCTATATAAACACTATTAAAGTAATTGATTTATGAGCTGAGGAATCTGAATAACACGTTAGCACAAACATATGTAGCGCACGGAAGCTATTTGATTTGATGATGATCTCATATACGTAAAATACATATTATATACCTAACATGCGTTGATGTATTAATGAATCGAGTGATACGAAAAGATTTTACTATTTGATGGTTTGAGGAATAAGAATATTTTTGGCACACACGTCCAACTATAAGAAATATTTGAAGTAGACATGTAAGTTCTAACAGCTGGCGATTATATTTATTGTTGAAGTAAAGGAAGTGAATTTCGATGTTGGGAGAGCTTTTGCACAATCTGTAAAATTTGAGCTAAAATATAGGGTTTAATAAAAATAAGAAAAGCAGGAATTTGCAAAAATTGATTATTGAACTTAGCTGAAGTTTAAATAAATGTAATGAAAATATTCACTCAAAACTATCAAGGGACTCAACTATAAATCAAGGGACCAATCTCTAAAATTTTAACTGACTTTAATAATTTAAAGCACAACTTTTTAATCTACTGCTACTACAGGTTACAAAAATAAGTGATCGTGAATTCCACAGCACCATAGTAAAATTTTTAAAACCCCAATGTTTCTACGATATTTGTGAACATGCAGATTTTGGTATCTAATAATACTTTACTAATATACTGCCTATAAAAAATATTTGATACTTTTATTCATTCAACATTTTCCCCTACTTTCCTATAATCTTTTTCAAAATTATCCTAACAATCCCTTTTTAACTCTCATAATTTAAGATTTATATCATCACAGTTATTTCTATACTTCATTCTCTTTTCGAAACTGCCCTTATTTTATATTTCTCAGGTTAGAGATTTGAAAGTTTCGGATATTTAAAGAATTTCTTACAGTAAAAAGAATCTCAAAAAATTAATCAATTGTAAATCCGGAAAATTGTGTTATCATAATTCATACAATCTGCCATATTATTATAATTTTTTTCTTCAATTTTTATTGGTTTTAAAGTCTAATCGTTTCAGTCTAATAAAATTGGTAATTTTTTACTATAATGAGTAAAGGGCAGTATCATATACAGACGAATAAATAAATATAGAATATGAAATATAAAATAAATATGATTCGAGCAAATAGGGCTCCAAATTTTAAGTTAAATAATCTGACTCTGCTGATGAATATTTCTGACAAAATTGCAGATCGTTGTATACAATGTTATTTCTATAAAAAAATTCCACGAACTTTTTTTATAATTAACTTCCCGCAGGGTAAATTATAGTAATCGCAAAAAAATCGAAAATGAAAATTTTTATATATCTTTACGTTTCAAAGGTTTCTGAATATTTTGGCATACCTTAGAAAAAATGTAGTATGTGTGTGTGTGCGGATACATTTTTTTTAAATTTGATCTATATATATATATATATATATATATATATATATATATATTGCATGAGTTGAATAAATTAGCTATTATTTCGTAAAATTTCTTTAAAAATTTAAAATAAGGCATTGGACCCCTGGCAGTCCCATTTTACCCCACATATGATGTAAAATGGATAAGGTGACAAATAATTGAAAAACAACAAAATACATATTTCTACAATGAATTTTGAGAGTTTTACTAAACAGAGAACATATAGTTGTTTGTTATATATGTGTAATTTGTTGTAATATAGTTGGTTTGGATTTCACAACATAATTGCTCAAAGTCAAATTGGACCTATGTGCCCGCCCTACTCTACGTACTGTAAACAAAAAGCAAATACGTTAATAATTTAAGTCTTTATATTACAAAAGTTACATTAAAACTAAAGAGCATCCATTACTTGCATTTATAATTCAAAATATTTTTAAAAAACATCATGAATTAATAATTTGATAAACTAATATAAAATTCTCATTAGCAATGTTTTATGTAAAAAAATAAATCATTTCCTCCTGGTTGACGTGACCCTTTACACCATTATCGATACCGTTTTTCCATTCAAGTCATTCCCGCATTGCGTTAAGTCATTTGATAAGACACCAATACGTCAAATGGGTCACAGCGGGCCCAACACGCGCCTACCTATTACGTTTACGTGCCGTTCCGGTCGGGGGTTGCATCAGGTGCTGTATCTCCGCAAGGGCGGTATGGGGAAGCCATTGTAAGGGTAGTAGTAGTTCCGGGGTTTTACTGACGTCAGATCAATACGCCGCGCGCGCCAACGGTGAATCCGGTTTCGAACACGCCAAGAAGATACCCAAGGAGTAGACGATAACGCCCGTATTCAGATTTGGATAGTAGAAATAGAAATATCAGAAATTTGTAACACCATGACAGTTTTCAAATCTGATAACCTTAGGGGTCTATAGTACATTTTTTTTAAATAATACAAATGTTAAGAACTTTTTGATATTATGTAGTAATTTTACATGTTGTCCTAAAATGGATAACAAGTGAAACAATTCTCTGTAAAGTTGGTTTTGATTGTCCTCGAGGCGGCTTTTGTATTTGTCTGAATGTGTTCTTATTTCATATATTATTGGGGAAGTCCTTTAAAGTTTTGGTTTATTGGTTTGAAACTGTTTTAGGGTCTATTTTTGGCTCCTATACGAGTTACAACTGCTAACATGCCGGTCAACTATGATCAATTCTCTGAATTTATAGACATTTTCGACGACCGGCCTACCTGTGCGAGGTGCATATTTTATATCAAGAATTCCTATGCAACCAAAATTGCACATAATAGGCTGTTACA